AATGACACTGGTTTCAACACAGGAAATTTCTCACGTTATTCACATCGTCAAAGTAACCTTCAACATTTTCCCAACAACACAGTGTAACAGCATCACCAACTCATAACCTGTAGTAGAGAAACAAACATCAACCAATTGTCCTGTTATAAATCACATCGTCAAATCACATGAAGAACTGTAATGCTGTAGAGAAGAAAATGCAATGTTAGCGCTGCGCAGATGTATACACACTTTCTCACAGTAATCTCTGTGAGCAACACACAACACAAGCCCATGAACAACACACCCCTGGTAGATTCACAAACATAGAAAGTGGCATTTAAAAGTTAAATTGGTACGGCCAAAGCTCACGCAACCTCAGATGGTGCTGTCATCTTTCTGCTCCTGTAAAAAGAAACACATAAATTCATCCACCCTTTTGTCCTGTCTAGGTGGAGGTTAACTTTGAGTCATGGTCAAGTCTTGTCAGTTTTTACCAGTCAGTCAGTTTGTTTTTATTTCCATCCATTCATTCTTTCTTTGCTGATAGTGGAAACTATCGCCGCATTTGATTTCCACCCTCAGCAAAATGACGTCATTTCAAAAAGAAAAAGAACTTTAGGTCGGATTACCTCGCTGAATCCTTTTTAGGCAGGGACTCTCATTTTCTAATTGTCCCAAATAAGTGGCTTTCTCCAGAGCCCAACAATTTTCTCGACGATGTGTAGCACTTTTAATTCCCGACGTGCAGATCTGCTTAAAGAAAAGAAATTCACAAACAGAAATCAGTGCACTGTTCAAAAAATAAAAATAAAATGAAAAATAAAAGATAAAACTGTAAAACAAAAGTAAATAAAAATACAGAAGCCCGGTCTTAGGGCTTGTTGCAGAATATTCTTTCTCTTATAGGTGCAAAAACACCCAATCTAAAACTTGGTGCCATGGTAAAACCTTCCCCATACTTCAGAAACAAAAACAAAACAAAAAATCTGCTAGTTTCACTCTTTTAAACTCTGGCTGCAGGATTCTGTTCACCCCTGTTATCATGTTCCCCAAAACAATACTAATTCAGTCGTCTATGTATCACTTCTCCACCCACTCAATAAACCAGACAGGATGATGGTAACAGTATTACCTACTTAAAATTGTGTTTAATCCTAATGAGCTTCATTACGTGTGTGTGTGTGTTAGTCGGGTTAATACATTTTCTATTTCTGTGTATCCTTTTATGTACCTTCCCCCTTTTTTCTGAAACAAAACTCTGTTCACTCCAAATTTTGTTTCAGAAACATCTAAATGAAAAACTCTGTCATAGTCAGGCACAGCTAAACCCCAAATACTTGCAGGTTACCATCGGCAACCACACTGTGTGTTGTTAACCCCCTTCTACCAATGCCCTCTTTTGATGTGTGCGACTTTGTGTATGATTTTGTGTCATCTCTAGTGCATATCATGTGCATGTGTGGTGTCACTTTCCATTTTCTCTAACAGTACTCTTGCATACCTCAGTGCTTGTCTTCCTCCCCCTTTTGTGGTGGTCTGGACACTGTGTCAATCCTCCACTTCCAGGCAGTCGTTTGTCTCCC